CAATAGGCCATAACTCAACACGTAACAAAACAAGAATAATGAGAAAGAGGAAAGCTAGTGAAGAGGCGCTATTCATTAGGAACATCACGTACCTGAAAAGAGATATATTTTTATTATGATTTATTTTATTCCACGTGACCGACTCTCTTTCCGTAGTAGAATGAAAAAAACAAAAAAACTTATATAAACTTACGGTACATGTAGTAACGTGTCAAGCTTCCTGAAAGGATACACAAGGTACATGATAGACAGGAACGGACATCCAGCTATGATACCAACTGAAAAGAGGAATCTTTTAGAGAACGTCCATTCGTCCCAGCCAGTAATACCACGGTACCATCGATTGTACATCAATTGTTGAAAACTTGGATTTGCAACAAACTAAAATAAATAAATAAATAAATAAATAAATAAATAAATAAATAAATAAATAAATAAATAAATAAATAAATAAATAAATAAATAAATAAATAAATAAATAAATAAATAAATAAATAAATAAATAAATAAATAAATAAATAAATAAAATGACGGACATGTAGATGGGAGGACATACAGAAATTATTCACCTTCTTCTGTTTATATTTGACTGCTAAGGCGGCTTTATGAGGCATAATGGTATCTACTTCATCAGACTTGGCCCACACCCCGGGATCGTGGGTCAATACTGTAGTTATTTCGTGTTCGCTACGAGTCTGCTTCAATAATTCGGCTGCAAACGTCTGACACTCTTCCTCTAGTTTCTCGTACTCGGGACTAAACTCGACATCCTTCTTGGCCATCTTTTTCAATCTATGACTCAACTGAAAAGCAGTGTTGATTGGATCGTGGCTTGTCAGGCAGATAAACGATTCGCTGGCAATGGCTTTGTAGATCTGTAGTTCGCGCAGTGATCTCTGTAGACCATGAGCGGAAGCTAATGTGACATCGGTGTCTGGATCTTCTATTGTTGCTCCATTCTGTAATAGGATCTGTTAGTCGAGTAGTGAAAACAAAACATAAAAGAGAATCGTTAATTTGCGACTTGATTTCACCAATATTATTTTGTTTTAATTACCAGGAATATATTTAAATTCGGATTTTTTAGTACAATTATATACTTTGCTACACATTTCAAAGTGGTTTAGTCAAGTAATCAAATCTAAATATTTTTTGTTTGACAAAACATAAAACCTAAAGTAATTTACTGTAAACTAGCTTCACTCAATGATTAATACAATAATCTATTATCACCCATGAATTTGCACTTATACGCCTTCTTACTTTGCATATTCATAGTTATTCCTATCGGCAGCTAGAATCAATGGCGTCTGACCAGGTGGAAAGTCCTCATTATCTGCGCATGCGTTAATATGATCCACGTCATCCTCCTGGAATGAGGTCGAAAAGAAGGTGCTATAACACAGTAGAACGGTGAAATAAAACCAGCTCGGACGGATACATATTATATAAAATAGGGATATTTGTTAAGTTAATCGCTGTCCTAAGTAAATAGCTATATGTCTCTTTCAGTAGTTATCATTAATAGAATATGGCAGGTTTGTATTAGAACCAATAACACAGACAATCTATTCAGTGTTTGTGTTAGCCAATGGTGTAACATTAACATATGTGACAAGGCAATAGTCTTACGATTTATATCATGATACTACTCGTAAAAGCACTACAGTGTTATACATTTTACAATGATCCGGATGATTGGAAAATACATACGTGATAAGTCAATTGTTAAAATAACATTCATAATGACAATAAGAAGCATATGTTAGACTGAAGTTGGAAAGTTCCGTCAATTTACATCAAATGTTCGTATACATATCAACACGTAAGTCAGCACGGTAGTCATTATGAAATGTACAAGCGTATCTCGATTGGTCATTCTCCGTTCACTGCGAGCTCTCGTGTTATGCGTGACAAGCAACGGTCATATCGTTGCAGTGACGTCAAAACATCGCATGGGATTTGATTTTGAGGAACTAACGGATTTTCAACGCAATATCCCCCTTTCAAGAACAAGCATTTCTTCTTTGAAATATTGAGATATGAAGTTCAAAATCAAATCGTTCGATTTTTGAGGCGGATGTTCGGTCCGCGCCTTTCACGCAATGCGCGAGATCTCGCAATGACCGGCAACCACCTGATGACATATTGTCATTACTTTAGCATGTTGAAAAATACACAAAATAAACATGAACATACACAATAGTAACAAAAAAATCAACAATGTGACCTATGACTTACGAACAAATAACATTAAATCATTAACAACTTGCTCACCTTCAGTAATTTAATATGCTGACAAATAACATCAACTGCTTTGACGAAGTTCACATCTACTGCACGTAGCAACGCATCACCCAACTCAACTCCGTGTTGCAGAAGTAGTTTTATAATATCTGTTATATATAATATTATGTCAAGTTTACAGACACAACACAAAGTAATAATGAATTCAACAAGCGCTGCCGTTTTTGTATATCATGGACGAATAAAAAACAAAACATACCGCTTCTGGGAATATACATTTATAAACACCTTTATAATGAATTTCCTGGTATAATGAACACGTAAAGCCAATGTAATAAGTGCTTTGCTATAGTGAACACTTCACTATAATAAGCTATTGCTATGGTTGCCAACGAATTATATTTGGTAAATGTATAAATTAATGAATAATAATGTATCCGCTCTTGGTCTTTTTATACTTTATGTGAAATTACTCAGGAAAATTTATTCATGTCTTTTATTTTATAAGGCAACAATTTCGTTTTTAAACATTTGAAATGTATATCTACAATCTACTGTAAGTTAACGTGTACATCATTTATTTGCTGATTTTTTTTTTTAATATTAAACATATAAC